TCCTGTTTCCTGTTGTCATGGTGATTCGTTGAATTTACTAGTGGACTTACTTAGGGTTGATTGAATTAATTCACAGCAAACTCAGAGTTACCACCATTAGGCGAGATCAATTTAGAATTGCAGATTTGAATCTGAGTTTATTAAACCTCCTTTGCGAAACCAACCCCAGAGGAAGTTCTTACTGAAAACAGCAATAACTCTTATCAGGGATTTTATTAATTAATATTTTTATATTTATTTTCAGAATCTTTACCTCAGTTTTTATTCTTTCCTTTATGTTGTTCTTACTGTTTTTTTATTTTTATTTTTATAAATATTTATTCCGGTTTTAAAGTGCAATTCTCTTTATCTGAGCCTTGCTTCGTGTGAACAGTTCTGGGTCTAAAGACCTTTTCACTTTTTTCAGTTTATCTGGGTATGAATGTGTTTTAAACTGCTGCAAATAAATAAAAGAACCATGAACCTATTAAAATGTTTCTATGTCACACCGTCAGCAGTGCTGTGGGGTTTTACATTCATTAAAATAACACCAACAAACCTCTTCCTAATAGACTTTTTCCTTCCAGATCATTTTCTGAGTATTGGATGCAGCGCTCTGATCCAGATCAAAACTATCAGATCAGGTTTTGGTTTCTATTAATCTGGTTTGTTGCTGTTTATCCTCGAAATACCGACAGAGAAAAATATTTAATAAAGTTCGAAAACACCGATTTATCTCTGTGCTTTCAGGAAATCGTGAATTCAGGACCTCTAGTTCTTCTTCTTTTTTTTTTTTTTAACAAAGTTTTTGTTTTCAGTGTGAACTTCCACTTCATGTCTATCAGCGCATCTGTTGCAGAGGAAACAGCTGGCCAGATGTGCGCACTTAAACCCCTGCCGCCGCCGCCGCGCTGTTCTGCGGCTGCGCCTCCATCCATCCATCCATGTTGTTGTTGACTGTTTAGGCCCTATGGCGGAGCTCCGCGCTGAGGCCCTCCTCGCGCTTCGTTCTTCAAACTCAGATTCTGGAGAAATTCTACACGCATTGATGCAAAGTCTGCCGCGTGGGTTCAAATCGCTTTCATCGCCACAGGATCAGCGCATCGACGGGGACGTGACGCGGTTTTACTCACGTTTGATACCTTCGTCCTCCTGGTGCTGCTGAGAAGCGTCCGCCTCTTTCAGCTCCGCCATTTCTGACTGCAGCAGCAGGCAGGAAGTAGGCTAACGTACGCACTGTACGCAAAAGACGTTACTCCGGCGCAGCGCATTTGCTGCTACGCACAAAATCAAACTATGTTCGGAAAGATCGTTTTCCAAAAGCAGAACGCAGACTTCTGTCAGCCATGGTTTACGGCTGAACAATGTCATCATTTGGGTGAAGGAGGTGAAGCAGGAGCTGATCACATTTATCACAGGGGTGGGGCTAAATGGGGGGCCAGGGGTGGCCAAACCATTTTACCCCCCTCTCATACAGATGGTGGCAACAGTAATAATCTCAAGTGGAATATTCAAAAATGTTTATTTTTTTGTGGTTAATTATATATATCAATACACTAAAATCAAAGATGATAAGTACAGAATGCATGCTCTTTTCAGAGCTAGATTATGGGTTTTATGGGGTAAAGAGAAGATCATGTGTCTCTGCAAGTCATCTAGGAATCTTTAGTGAAATCAAAGATAAATAACAATTTTAATAAAAAACTTCAAATTCAATTAAAAAAATCAAATAATCCATTTATGTAGATATTGGTGCTTCTAAATATCAATTCTATGCAGAATGTTTATTGATACAAGTTGGTAGGTAATGAAAATGATGATTGATTTACGCTCCAGAATTCAAAACTTAGTTTTATCCACTATACCTTTTATCTAGAAATTACGGATGTTTAAATATATGCATCTATTTGTTAGCAAAGGCTGTAGGAAAGTATAGTTAGTCTTTATTTAGAAAATATGGATGTTTTGCTCATTAATTTTCCTTCCATCCACTTTCCTAGTTTCCTTCCTTCGGCGACCCCTCAGTGTGCATTGGTTATTGCCTGGCCACCCTTAAAAAAAATAATTTCTGGCTACGCCTCTGCATTTGTCTGCTTTAAATCAGCTTATTTGGTGCTCCCAGTAGGATAGTTGTAAAAAAAAAAAAAAAGATGGGGATGGTGGATTTTTTATTTTTGGAAGTATACTGGCTAATTAACTTAGTCTATTAACCTAAAGCAATATGCTTTGTATGGTTACCAGGGTCAGATTTAGGAAATTTGGGGCCGTAGGCAAAAACATGCAGGGGGCCCTCTGAATTGAGAAGACAACACATAAAAAAGACCCATTATACAGATAGATAAATGTTCTAGGTTTTGTCCTTCTCTTCTTGTCCATTTTCTTGTTCTTTTCCTCTATATGTTTTGTACTCAGCTGACATTTCATGCTGTCTCTAAAGGAATGAAATATTTTTTTTCCAAGCACTAAGCTCACTTAGCTGATTGCTCCTTCCTGTGTTTCCAAAAAATCTGATGGCAAACGTAAATAACCCAGACCTCCTTTTCACTGTAGACAAGCCATGATCTGCTTATCTGTTCTCCATTTTTCATTTGGATGATAGCTGCATGAATCATGACAGCAGACAAGATAGAGGAGAGCAGGAGGCAGAAAAGTGGCTAAATATAGCGACAAAAGGGTTAAGTTGGCAACCCAGCTCTTCGCATCAGTTGTTTTCAAATGGTTTGCTGCTGTCTGTTTGGACCTTTCTGAACATGTGCAGCAATTGGACTGATCCAATATGGTGGAGACTGAAGCGGGGGCTGAGACACACTTAATATTATAAGCGTTCTGATGGCATTTTAGCGAAAGGATTTCTTAAAAATGAAAAACGTAACTAATGTGCACAAATGATGAATAGTTGTATTAACCTTACGTTTTATGGGGCCCCCAGGAACTTGGGGCCCTAGGCAACTGCCTAGTATTGCCTAATGGTAAATCCGCCCCTGGTTGTTACATGTCAATGACCTTGACCAAGGAACCTTACAGTAGATCTGCAGTCAGTCCCTGGACTAGCATGGCTATCACTGCCCCTATTTCCCACTGGGATCAGCTTCATAGCCATGGTAGGCCACTACTTTGATTTGATTTATTTTGCTCAAGCTACTTGTAAGCCCTCAGCCACCAAATTACTGTTAATATATAGTAGAAATTTTACACATTCAGTAATAAAAGGTCACAGGGGATGGTATGGGGAGGGGATGGTCATTTAAGAATGAGGATGATTTTTAAGATTTTTATAAGAAGGGGGATGCCATCCCTCCTGGTCCTTTAATTCCAGTACTGGGTGCTCCTGCTTCTTCATCAGTTCTCACTTGCAGGAGGTTGATAAAAGCTGATGATAAGGAGGAGGAAGGAGAATCTGTTGGTATGTTTCTATTTCATGCTCATTTTGTGCATGAAATAGAAACCTAAGTTTGTGTCAAATGTTGCTGTGACTAACTGTAATTACAATAAACGATAAACATAATGACCCTCTGGTCGTTACTCTAACTTATGATATGGGTTTTATTAATAAACTTCTAAGGCAGTAAAATGCCCTTCAATGTTTTAGATTCCTGTTATATTTTCTGGATGAAATGTTCATAGCCTTTTTGTTTATAGCAGTAGTTTAACAGAGGCAGGGCGTATTCATAATGAGTTAGATGCTGTTAGGGAGTTTTATCATCACTATTACTAAAGAGATAAACATTATGCTGACAGAACTGTTCCTGTTTCCACACTGGGACAGACTGGGTTCAGTCACACCTGCTCTGTTTAAGGTGAATAAAGGAGATATTAGTGCTGAAAATATTATTAAACTGTTTCACCTCATCAGTTTAATGATAAACAAATAAAAACCAGAGCGGCTTTGAAAGCAAACGCTCTGATTGTTCATTTGATGGCAGGAACAATTCATTGGTCAATAGTTTCGTTTCGGTTCCGAGATTCGGTTCCCAGGAAAGCGAAAGTTAAAACTTCGTCTGAGTGAATCATCATGTCTGTCTCCATTGTTCGCCCTAAAGTCAACAAGTGACGTCACGGCGTTGATAAAGCTGAGCGCTCGCTGCGGAGGATCAGTCTGCAGCCGCGCATCTTAGCGACCATCAGACGCTCCAGGAGAACCAAACTGCTTCATAGGAACAGATGCAGCGAGAAAATGAGGTGAGATCAGATTGATTCTACTTTTCTTTCGTTGGTTCTCTTTTCATCACTTTATAATAGTTCAGTATGTGAAAAGTGATTAAAATGTCTACTTTACTCACTAATAATTTTACCTTGGTACATTTTTCTCAGGTAGATGTCAGGTTATAAGAACACATCAAGCAGATGAGATGAGGACATGTTACATATATTCTTTGCTATTTTAATTTTCAGATAAAATACATCATGTCATTTAATGACATTGATCTATCAGAAAATTAATTATAGGTCACCTTATAATGGCAGTTATAAGGTGACCTACAGCCTATGGGGAGATTCCTCTTCCACTCTCCATAAGTAAGTCTCAGAGGGAATCCTTCACTATTGGAGCCAAAATGACTCCTATAGTGGTTGTCAGAAGCCCACAGCACCTCTCTGATTCTTTATTTAAATATAATCTGTTTCTTCCAAAGCCCTCATGCTCTAGGAAATATCTTTACTGTCCAACAGTGGAGAAACAGGTCTGACAGTGGGATAAAAACAGCAGAAATAAGGAAGCTTACATGCAGGATCAAATAATATAAAACAATAAGAGATTTTAAAAGTTAAACTGGGCGGCAAAAGAGAAACAAGGGGATCTCAGAAAGGAAAATAAACAAAAATGTTATTAAAAATATGGCAAATTCAGGTAAAATTGAGAAAAGTTCAAAACAGCCAGCCAGCCTGCGTCAACGTACCAATCCTAAGAACAAAGATCACCAAAGTCAGAATGATGAATGAACAAGTCTGGGGTCATACGAATCTTTAAACTAAACAATAAATGTGATCAAAATAAAGCATTTTTATGCTTAAAGATATCAAAACATCGCTTAGAAATACACAAAACCAAATAAATAAAGTTTGGGAACCTTTACCTTTAGAGCATGACGCCAAAAATAACACAGCTACAAACAGACAACCCCCTAAAAATACCTGATTATTTAACTGTGTTAATAAACAAATATAAAGTAAATACAAATTCCTTTTAAATTCCTTTTACATAAATTTATACAATAAATAAAATTTGTATGTATAATTGTAAATGTATTTATATTATATATATTGTTTAACTGTGTATATTATCTTTTAACGGTATATTTAATATTTGAATCATGTATTAGATTGTGATTGAGAAACTGGGGGCCGCGGCCCCCTGAGAGCCACCAGGGTGTGCTATTGGGCCTTAGAAAAACGGACCCCCTAAAAAACAAAAAAAGTGAGGCTAACGGACTGACATTCCTGTGTGAACCTGACAATTTTATCTTTAAAATTACTAAAAAAGTAAGGTAGAGCTACTCTACAAGCGGCCAATCATATCCTACTGAGAGACATTAAGCCCCACCCACCTTCCTGCGGGATTGATCTCTTTTGTTCTGCTCTTATCAGTTTTTTATACAGAGAGAATATAAAACGCTAGTAATTTCATGCTCAGTTGAAAACAGAACAATGATAAAGTAACTTCCTAAGATAAATATTTTATAGCCTGTCTATCAGTTTGCGTAGCATCATGTTTATCTAATCTTCATTATCTTATTTTTATTTTTTTAATTTCCATAAATGTATTTTCTTCTCATGTTCTCCTCGTTACTTCCTGCTCGTACTTCAGCTCCTCCGTCCATTCTGGTTGTATTTTTAATGCCAGTTATTTTAAATCCTGAATGTTTTGTGATGTTCCCATCAGTTCTGCTCAGAGTCTAACGTCCAGACTGAAGGTTCTGGAGTGCCACTTCACCTGGGATCTGAACACCAACCAGAGCAAACTATTCCGTATCAGAGATAAGCTGGAGGACATCGGCACAGATGAGGGAAACTTCTGGCTGGGTCACATCTACAACCTGCGGGGGTTCATCCAGTTCAAGCTGGGCTCCTCCTCTGAGGCCCTGAAGTTATTCACCAAGGCCACTAAGACCTTCCAACACCAGAAGCACTCAGATGAAGGTCCATGGCTGACGGTGAACTATGGGAATCTGGCTTGGCTGCACCATCATCTCAGAGAAGATGAGAAGAGTCAGGATTACCTCTCAAAGGTTGAAGCTCTGATGAAGACCAAGAAGGTGGATCTCCATCCAGAGGTCTATGCTGAGAAGGCCTGGACCCTGATGAAGTTCGACAAAGAGAAGAAGCTGCAGGCTGCAGAGCTCTTCCAGAAAGCCGTGAAGATGCAGCCAGATATGGTGGAATGGCAGAGCAGCCGTATGATCGGCCTGCTGAGCTCCTTCAAGCACAGCGATGAAGATCCAGATGCTGATATCCTGGAGGACCTGAGAGTCGCCAGAGAAGAAGATCCAGAAAACTTGTACCTGGCAGCCGTGGAGCTGAAGCAACGCGCCAAGAAAGGCGAGCAGATCAAGGATGAAGCCCAGGAGCTGTCAGAGAAGATCCTGCTGAACCCTGTCAGCAGCTACAGTGGCATCAAACCGCTGCTGAGGATCTACAGACAAACCGAAGCCTTTGATAAAGGGATCGAGGTGGCAGAGCAGGCCCTGAAGAACAATCCAGACTCCCGGTACCTGAAAAGATGCGCTGCTCTTTGCTACAAGTGGAAGATTGTTTTCTGCAGGGACGGACGCCCAAGTCAAACCAGCTTTGACCGAGCAATTGGCCTGCTGGAGGACATCATCTCCCTCTACCCACAGTCCTCTCTAACCAAGAAACTGGATCTCGCTGGTGTACTGGCAAAGTCTGGGCGGGGACTGACGAAATCGGACCAGATCTACAATAAGCTGCTGCAGAGCACTTTGGATCCTGCAGACAAACAGTGCGTCTTCAACAGCTACGCCAAGTACCTGAATTTCGACCGAAAGGAGTGGGACCGGTCCATTCAGTACCACATGAAGGCTGCAGCCATAGACAACGACTCCTTCCCCAGGAAGAACAGCATCAAGGCGCTGCAGAAGATCAGAGACCGCGGCAGGTCCAGGATGTGCAGAGAGATCCGGGAGTTTCTGAAAAAACTGGAGGACGACGGGACTGTTTAGATGCAGATCTGATCGGAACTTTGAGAACGGATTATTTTAGCTTTAGTCCGATTCCTCAAGTTCAAGGAGAACATCAGAGCCACTGATTTAAGCATAGCATACATAGGGCGTGTTCGATTTCAGCAGCTGCATCCCACAAAGACCTGGTCTACCTGGACTGGGTCCTTAAAGGTCCTTGAAAATAAGGAGGCCAGGAGTTTAGCTATGGATTCAAACAGATCCAGCCTTCTCTGGCTTCCATTTGCACAGGAACAGATAAAACCTTAAAATAAACCAAACACCACCTGCCGCATATCTGACTCAATAACCATTTAAAACAAATATTTTAATTAATTTCAGGTGGAACTATTTACACATTTGTATTATATAAAACTGCACTTCCAATATTCCCCACTGCTTGGCGCCATTTCCCTTTTTCCTCTGAGCATGGAGAAGCCGGGTTGCTCGGACTCATGCATCTGGCCTTCAGAGGACGCTGCTGCTGAATTCGAACTCTGCATCAATCAACTTTTCAACAACTACTTTCATGTTTTATGATTTGTTCTCTGTGTTTTTAATTCAAAAACAAAAAGCAGTTATAGATTAAAATCAAATGTCGATATACCATTAAATTGATGGTGAATAAAATATGTCTGTGTCCCTCCATCATGTTTCAGTGTTTTCATTCAGCTTCAGTGTTTGAATAACCGCACAGCTTTTAGAACAAACTAAACACACTGTTCATACATTAACAAAGATGACTAACTCTAACTTAGAAATTAATTACAAAAACAAAAGATGTGAAAGTATTTAAAGAATTGTAACAGTTTTAATCCCGCTAGCTAACATGCCCCCAAATTTTCCCTGAACGGGTCAGAAGCAGGGAAAACTATAAAAGGGCCTAAATCCTGAATAATCACATTATCTTCGTTTTTAACCCTGTTCTAATGTGAATTTAGCTCGATTAATACGCATCCAAGTATTTCCATGGTTTCCCCCGCCCTTCCTGGAAAAAAACGAGCGGCCATCACTGTCCTAAATGGAGATTTAGGACAGTGATGATAAAAGTAATAAAAATACACAGATTGACTGTCTGGGTTAAAACTCATAGTATCACATCGTGATCAGCTGATGAACCATAAAGACCTGCAGAGGACGCCATGATGGGGGACGTTGCTGGTTGGACACCTGTGCAGAGGACAGACACTGACTCCCTCCACCATAAAGAGAAGATAAAGATAAGATTAACTTTATTGTCCCAAAGGAAATTTTATTTGGGTACAGACTCTGGCTGCTACATAGTCCAAAGTATGTGTCACACTGCATTCACACATAAAAACACTGCTATAAAAATTCCATTATAAGACAATAAATAAATATATAAGGAAGCATGTTACATTACATTCACAATAAAAAAAAAAGTATAAAAACCCTTCTTTAAAAAATCTGTTATGTGAGATAATGAATACATAAAAAAGCATGTCAGTTTAGTTTAAATTTTGAATACCATTGGCAATTCCACAGTTTACTGCTTGATACCGTTTATTGCCTTAATGGAAAGAGGAACAAATTAGTTTTTATAGAGGTTCAATCTACAGGCAGGGACTCTAAGACGTCGACCTGAAGGAAGAAACTGATACTCTGAATAAAGAATATGAGTGGGATCTGAGATGATTTTCTGGGATTGTCTGGTTATTGTTTCATTGAAGATGGTCTGACATGACGGGTGCTGCTTGACTCCCATCAGCTTCATTGGTCCTTGAGTCAGGTAAGTAAGTTTGGCCTTCATTTGGACAGGTTACCAAACTAGGCAGATATGCCATACCTAATGATGCTCTCTATAACAGCACGGTAAAAGAGCAGCACGACTTTCTGACACCAAAGGCCCTCAGCTTGTGCAGAAAATGTAGCTGCTGCTGGACCCCAAAATCAACTTGAGCAATCCACAATAATTTATTGTCGATTTTTAATCCAAGATATTTATAGGAATCTGTTCCAACTGCCCTCAGGTCATAGATCAGTTCTTGTGTTTTTTGGACATTAATAGTCAGAAAGTGTTCCTCACACCACTGAACAAAGGTTTAAATCTGCTGTCTGTAACC